GTTAGACATTCCGTTACATTCTGATGGTTTCCATTAATATGCCATTAAAACTAATGATTTTCATTATTTTTACCGTTAAAACTAATGGTTTTCGTCAATTTTGACGGCACACTAACAAAAATTATTAGTATATAACGGAGTGTGTAACCTTTAGATGATGTATGTTTTAGTGTCCTTTTAATATACAGGATACTTTAAAAAAACATGAATCGCTTACTTTATTTATTACCTCTAATTGAGTACCGTTTTTATTGGAAGCAATGCCACTACTAAAATTCTCCTTTTTAGCAATTAACCATCAGCAATTTGGAATTGCTTGTTGATGACATAGATTCTCACCAACAAAACCCATGTTGCTGATACCTATAAAGTAGCGAATCTTCCAAATAGTGAACTCAACTTTCAGTAACATGCTTCTTGTTGTTGATAGTGAATATCAGCAACAAGGATAGTATTGTTGAAATTTTGCTAAAATTTTGCTGAAATTAAGAAAGTTGCCTGAACTTTCAGCAACAAGGAATATGTTGTTGAAAGTGAATTTCAGCAACAAGCACTATGTTGCTAATACCTCTATAGCACCTAATCCCCCAAAAAGTGAGATTAACTTTCAGCAACTTCGACAATTAACTTCTCCCTCTTCTCCATTATTCCAGCAACTGTTCTCCTCCATTATTCTAGTAACTATTCTCCATTATCTCCCTCTCCTCCATTATTCTAGCAACTATTCTCCTCCATTATTGCAACAATCGTTTCCTCCCTTTTTCCTTTTATTTTTTTCGTTTTTTTATGTCTACTTCCCCTTCTCAGCTTTTTTCTACTCTCCCCTCTCATCTTTTTTTCTTTAGGTTAATGTTCGTGAACCCATATCTAGGTTTGTGTTAATGAACCCAACTCTAGGTTCATGAACCCAAATCTGGGTTCACGAACCCATTTTTGGGTTTGTGTTCATGAAGCTTCCCTTCTCTTCTTCCTCAAACCAACCCCTTCCCTCCATCTTACATGTTGTTTAGAATTTGAAATGAAAAAGGAAAATAACATTTAGTTGGAAATGTGGATTGGTAGAAAGTTATATCTTGGTGAATAATCCAGATTTTAGGAATTAATTGTGAATTTTCATTTCAATATTTTTTTCTAAGTAAATTTTACTTGAATTCTTGTGTAATAGGAAATGGAGTATGAAAATTTTGTTTCATTTTGTGTTTGGGTATTTGAGAAATGTTGTTCAAGAAATTTTGGTTGATTTAATTGCAAGGGTATTTTTTAACAATGAAATTTATATAATAAGTAAATATAAATACTTAAACTTAAATTGAAATTAATGGTAAGATAATTGATTTGATTTCTAATTCAATTTATGAATTAAATGATATTAAATGTAGTTATAATAAGTGACATAATAATTAAAAATGTTAATAGATGTTATAGTTGATAACTTTTTTTGATTTTATGGTATGAGGTTTAATTATATAGGTAATTTTTTTTTTCACATCCTCAAATACTAATATCATATCTTTCTATCTTAATTAATTATTATATCTTTTAATTTATTAAGAAACAAAAAAATTGTGTAATTTTGAAAAAAAAATGTAATATAAGGATATAATAGGTAATTATATATAGAGTCGATTCTTTATCAGTAAAGAGTCAAATCTAAAAGCTAGATTCTACTCTGAAAGCCTCCAAGTTCACTATAGAGGGTTAACATTTGACTCATAAATTCCAAAGAGATTCGAGCATCTTGCTGCAAGTTAGAATCGACTTTATATAGAAAGATTCAACTCTCAAGCCTCCAAGAGTCAACTATACAGGATCAACATTCGACTCCCAAATTCCAAAGAGGTTCAAGCATCTTGCTGCATGTTAAAGTCGACTCTATACATTAACATTCGACACTCAAGCCTCTAAGAATCGACTATAGAGGGTTAACATTCAACTCACAAATTTTAAAGAGCAGAGAAAGTTCTAGGTGGTGGGTATAGTTGACTCTTTTTATGAAGAGTCGACTTTTAGGGGAAAAAAGTCGACTCTTAATTTAAAAAGTTGACTATTAACCAAAAATTTCAGTAACTTTATGTGAAATAACTATGTAGCCTTATATATATATCCACATATATTTTTAGATAAATTAGAGTTTTAAATTATTTAGATTTGTTAGTAAATGATGTAATTATATTAATTAATTTATCAGG